TGACTGGCAACAAGCTGAATGGTGACTAATTTTCGGATCCAGGTCACAAGCACCATGTTGACTATTTTACCTAGACCAAGCCAAAAGAAAATGTTGACTATAGGTAGGCTTCGGGCAATGGGTAAGGTCCTGGGTTTCCTGCCTAGAAGTCTCAGAGGACTGTGAAACACTAGCATATGGTGTAATTCTCTTATAGGTGGTACAGAGTATATCAAAACAAGGATCAGCACACAATTTAAATTGTGACTCACATGCACGTCTTGTCAAAAGTTAAGTTTGTCACCCTCATATATGGACAATGCCCGCTGCTGAGGTCCTGAATCTCTCATGAATGTGGTCTACAGTTGAAATTTTGACTGTCGTATATGGATTTATTCACAAGCGAGGTGGTAACTAATTCGTGGACCCCGTTCACAGGCACAGTGATGAATTTTATACCTGGACACAGCCAATAAAGGAGATGTTGACTCTTTCTAGGCTTAATGAAATGAGTAAAATTGTGGGTCCACATAAGCGTGTGGGTCTCAGAGAGTATTGTGACTTTTACAAATACCTTACAGTGCCCTCAGTTGGTACAAAGAGTGTCATAATAGGGCTCAAAGCACAGGTGAGATAGTCACTTTTATATGCACAACCAGCCAACCATATTTTCACCTCTAGAAATGAACGCTGTCTACTCTTGAGGTTCTGGGAATCTCACATCCAAAGACAGTCAAAAGTTGGCATTGTTACTATCATATGTGAACTCTGTACAAAGGTAGAATGGTGACTCTTGGGCCAAGATTTGGCACTCCTGTGATGTTTTGACTTTTTTACAGTGTCTGCAGGCGGGGCTTTCATGCATGGATCCAGTTCACTGTTGAGGCTACTTGCCTTTTGAACAAAACTCCCAGTAAGTATTGACTCTGAACCTGGAGCTGGGAAATGTGCAGGATCGTAAATTTTATCTCTTGACCTTTACACAGTTGTGGTTGTAACATATTCCTTTACTCAGCCCCTGATGATTTTACTTTTTTGCCTAGGTCCAGCCTACACATTAGATTGTGAACTATACCTGGTTTGAGGACATAGATTATGTGACTTTTCTGCCTGGGCTCTGTCTGCCCTCAGTGGGTATTGTGACATATATCTGGGCCAGTCACCTAAGTGATATAACTCTCTCTTCCTGCCTAAGCCAGTCCAGAGAGATTACTGTGAGATATCTTTGGGCCCGTTGCCTATGTGATGTGACCTTTTATGTGTGTGTGTCCTGGAGTGGTTTACAGGAAAAATAGTGACACATTACTGGGCTCATCACCTAGGTGATGTGACCGTCTTCTGCCTGGAAAATGTTTACAGGATGGATTGTTGACATATTACTTTACCTAGCACCCAGGAGATGTAACTTTTATTGCCAGGGTCCTGCCCACAGAAAAAATACTGACATATCACTGGCCCAGCACCTAGTTTATGTGACTCTCCCTAATGGTCCTTGCCCACAGGAGAGATTGTCACATGTAATTACGTCCAGCTCACAGGTATGAGAAAACCCCATCTCTAATAAAAATACAAAAAATTAGCCAGGCATGGTGGCAATTGCCTGTTATCTCAACTACTCAGGAGGCTGAGAGAGAATTGCTTGAACCCGGGAGGTGGAGGTTGCAATGAGCTGAGATTGCACCATTGTACTCCAGCCCAGGTGACAGTGCTAGACTCCATCTCAAAAAAAAAACAAGTGCTTATGAGAAGGATCCCAGAAAGAACGCCAGGATGCACAGCACTGGCACCAACGG